GAGAAATTCGAAGCTGAGATGGTTTTCCTTCCGTTTTGATAATCTGGTTTGTTACCTGGAGAAACGCTGAGTTTCTGTTTGTGTCATGGCGCCCTGCAAGCTCGCTGGGAAGCGCGTGGGTGTGTGAGTGTGAGACCCTCCTGCCCACCCGGGGGGGAGGGGACAGATTTTTCAACAGTCTCCATGACCTTAATGCTCTTGTATCCACTCCGCGATTGTCTCATGGCAAAAGAGTATTCAAAGCCGAAATTAATCCTGTGAATCAGTTGACCTTAGAGAGCGTCTCTGTGTGTGGAAGGTCTCGGCTGGCAGCAGAAGCAGAGATTAGAAACCCGAGAGGAATTGGACGAGAGGGAGGTCGGTCCTCTGTTGGGAGATAGAGGTGGGCATGGAGCAGCGCGATGATTTGCTAAATCTCCGTCTGTTCAGGACATGCCCTGGGTGCCGGATGGTGAGACTGGTTAACAAAAGATCATACAAGAAGTCAAGGGAGAAAGAAATCTAGGGAGAGAGGGTGATTCCTCACAGGTCCTGGAGGAAGTACTTGGCACACCTCACACCCCAAGGGGTCAGACAGGCAGTCACGGTGAGGAATAGGCAGAGAGGAAGGCAGAATATGGGGGTACATGCCTTAAGGAGGTGCTTTGGGGTTCCTGGGCTGAGGCCGGATTTATCAATTCAAACCAAAGAGCTCCGGTTTGGGTAAGCTCCATAGGGCTCTTACCTAAGGGGGCAGAAGGAAAGGCTCTGGAAGGTGAGGGGTGCTGTCTATCAGAGTGGCCTTTAGGGCGGTCATATTGGGAACATACATTCCCGTGTGACTCTAGCTGAGACCAGGCCTCAGTCCTGTAGCCACAATGAACTGAATTCCACCAACAACTTGAATGAGCTTCCAGCAGATTCTTCCCGGATTGAAAACCAACTGGGCTGACAGCTTGGAGGACCCCATCACAGAACCCAGGCCCGCCCGTGTGGGCGCCTCACCCGCAGAGCGAGGAGCCCTTAAACGGGCGCTGTGTTCCTTCGCTCCGTGCAGCAGGCTTTGCATGGCAGCAGGAGGGCATCCCTGCCCCCCTCCTGCGGGGGGCGTGCGTGTCCCCCGGGCTCTGTTCTGCCCGTGCGGGTTCCATCATTGCCGCGGGAACGGCTGGCACACGTGCCCGTGTCTGAAATGCACCCTCCGTCTCTCGCCTTGAGAGCCAGGCCTGCTCTGGGCTGTGGTGCGGGATGCCCGTGGGAGTGGGCTGGTAGTCACTCATGTGCAGCTTTGAGGTAGAAAGGACTTAGGGCCCTGTAACCACTGGGGCACGAGGCAAAAGTAACTGTCCTCGAAGCTTTGTTCTCTAGTGAATAAATCCATGACACAGTCAGTGTGGCTTCTCCAAGGTCCTCAGAGGGTCAAGCTGCCCAGATGGTGGCCCCTCAAGAACCTGCCCTTCAATCGGTCCGCTCTCGTCACCCAGCTCTGTACTCTGGGGTCGCTGACCGTGTAGACAGCCGTTCGGAACCCTGGGTGCCGCTCCGGCTTCAGTCCAGGTGGTGAATGAGGGCCCGGGACTCCTCTGGGTCTCCAGGCTCTGGTTTCCTTCTCTGGGCCTGAAGAGTGAACACATTTATTATTTTCACTAAAATTACGGAGCCACCATTGTTACGCATTTTCAGTCAGTTTCTAGAATTTGAGGTGGGAGAAGGAGGCTGCGAGTATCTGCCACACAGACGTACCCGGTCATGTGATTGGACCGGAGTAGATCAGATCATGAGCTTGCTGATGCCTTTCCTCTCCTTCTCGTTCAGCTCACTGAGTGTTCCTGAGCGGACGCCTGCCTTTGTTGGAAGAATCTCTCTCTGCTGCGCCAGTGCGCTGCCTGGGAGCGTAGACAGTCCCATGTCCCTAATGCTCTCTGATCGGTGAGGACTTCCCATGTATTTTTAGAAGCTTTCTGTCCTCATGTCTTCACACAATTATCTAAAGACTGGAGGGAAATGTTATATGTATTTACTCTGTTAACCTCTCTATTTGTATCATTCTAACTGGCCAGTCCCTGGCATGCCTACAGTGGTTACTGAGATCCAGGTGGTCATGGAGCCACCTTATGACCTGTTAAATCTCCATCTCTTAAGTAGATGCCCTGGGTGCCGGGTGGTGAGATGTGGTCAACAAAGTAAGACGCATATATGGAGATATCCCGATTTGCGGCAGACACAGCTGGTTCCTTACAGAGCTGCCATAGCCCTGGGCCCCCTCCTCACCCAAGAGAATTCTGCTTCGTTTAAATCAACCCTGGCATTTCCACTCTCCTGGCCAGGTACAGAGCCTGGCAGTTGACCCAGTACTTACAAACGGGAAGTAAGAAGACATCAGTTGTGGGGCTTCTAGGAAAAGCCCCCTGCCCTTGACACATGAACCGAAGTCAAGGATTCCCTTACGATAACTTCTTCAAGTGTGTTTTAGATGAATAGACTTTACTTTTAGAGTAGTTTTAGGTTTACAGAATAATTACATGGGAAGGACAGAGAGTTCCTGTGTATCCTCTTCTCCTCTCCCCTCCTATATAATTTACATTAGAGTTTACTCTTTGTGTTGTACATTCTCCGTATTGTGACAAATGTATGGCATACGCCCATTAATATGGTATCGTACAGAATAGTTTTATGGCCCCAAAATCCCTCTGTTTTAACCTCTTCATCACTCCTTCCCTCCTTCCCTAGAGGTCCTGGCAGACGCAGCTCTTTTGCTCTCTCCATGGTGCTTCCTTCGCTAGAATGCCTTATTGTTGGAACCACACAGTGCGTGTCCTTTGTGGGCTTGGCAATATGAATGCAAGGTTCTTCCGTGGCTTGACTTCTTATATCACTGAATGATGTGCCATTTTCTGGGTTTACCACAGTTTATGTATTTCCAAGTCTTGGCAAATATGAATAAAGGTGCTAGAAGCATTTGTGTGCCGATTTTCATGTGGACATAATTTTCAGTTCACCTGGGTGAATGCCAAGAGTATAGTCATTGGATCATATAATCAGGGTATATTTAGGTCATAAGAAACTTCCAAAGTGGCTGAAGTTGATTGCATTCCCATCGGCAATGTATCGATCGACAGTTCCCGTTGCTTCACTTCATCACCAGCATTTGTGTTCTCAGTGTTTAGGGTTTTAGCCATTCTGTTAGGTGTATGTAAGTGGATTGTGCTTTATTTGCTACTAGAGGCCTGGTACATGAAATTTGTGCACTTGCGGGGGGTCCCTCAGCCTGGTCTGTGCCTCTCACTGTCCGGGAGCCCTTGGGGGATGCCCAAATGATGGCTTAGGCCTGCTCCTTAGGGGGATAAGCCTAAGCTGGCAGTTGGACATCCTTAGTGCTGCCGCAGAGGTGGGAGAGGCTCCCGCCACCAGAGCTGTGCTCCCCAGCCATCAGCCCAGCTTCTGGCTGAGCAGCACTCCCTCTGTGGGATGGAGCTGAAACCGGCTCTCTGACATCCCCTGAGGGGTCCCAGATTGCAAGAGGATGTAGGCCAGGCCAAGGGACCCCAGCAGTGCATGATCGGGGTGGAGAGGGATGCGGGAGGTTGGCCAGCCAGGGAGGACTTCGGGGTGTGTGCAGCCCGTCTTGCTCAGTCCTGACTGGCCAGATCCCAGCAGCAAGTCAACCTACCAGTTGGAACATCTACCCTCTGGTGGTCAGTGCACATCATAACGATTGGTCAACCGGTCAACTGTCTGCCCCCTGGAGGTCAGTGCATGTCATAGCAAGCGGTTGAGCTGTCTTAGCATATCATGTGCTTTTTGGCCATCTGTAACTCTTCTTTGGTGCAATGCTCATTCAGAACTTTTAGGCAATTTCCAATTGAGTTGTTTTCTCATTGTTGAGTTATCCAGGGTGGGGCAAAAGTAGGTTTACAGTTGTTTGTATGGAAAATAATACAGTAGTTAATAAATTATACTACAAGAGCCCTAACCGGGTTGGCTCAGTGGATAGAGCCTTGGCCTGCAGACTCAAGGGTCCTGGGTTCGATTCCGGCCAGGGACATGTACCTTGGCTGCAGGCACATCCTCAGTGGGGAGTGTGCAGGAGGCAGCTGATCGATGTTTCTCTCTCATCGATGTTTCTAACTCTCTATCTCTCTCCCTTCCTCTCTGTAAAAAAATCAATAAAATATATTTTTTTAAAAATTATACTACAAGAATAAACTGTTTCTTGTACTCACAACTGTAAGCCTACTTTTACCCCACCCTGTATATAATCAATTTTTCATCAGATTTATCAAATTTTTTCCCAATGAGTAGCTTCTCTTTTCATTCTCCTAACAGTATCTTTCACAGAGCAGAAGTTTATAATTTTAATAAAGCCCAACTACTCAAAAGCACAACTTTTTTTTATGGATTTTGTTTTTAATGTATCTGGATCATCACCAAACTCAGGATTCTCTGTTTTTTGCTGTTATTTCGTAGGAGTTCAATAGTTTCTCATTTCACACTTAAGTCTGTGATGTAGTTTGAGTTAACTTTTGTGAAAGGTATAAGGTCTGTGTCTCAATTCATTTTTTTTACATATGAATGTACAGTTGTTGCAACACTATTTGTTGAAAAGATTAATTTTCCCCCACTGAAATGCTTTTGTTAAATTTTCAAAATTCAATTGACTATATTTGTTTGAGTTTACTTCCTTGGCTCTCTATTCTTTTCATTGATCTTATTTATTCATTTGCCAAAATGAACTCATTTTTCTATAGATTTACAGAAATTATTGAAGTCGGGTAGTTAGTACTCCAACTTTGTTCCTTCTCTTTAATTTCTATGTTGGCTACTCTGGGTCTCTTATATTTTCACATAAACTTTAGAATTAATTAGTTGATATCCACAGACTAAGTTGTGGGAATTTTGGTTAAGGTTGTGTGGAATGCATAGATCAAGTTCAAAAGAACTGACATCTTACTAACATTGAGTCTTCCTATTCACAAAATCTCCCCAATTTGATTTTAATCTTGTTATTTGTTTCTATTCTTAATTAAATTTATTTGGGGGCCATTGGTTAATATGATTATATAGATTTCAAGTGTACAATCCTGTAATAAATCATCTGTATATACTATATTGTGTGACCACCACCTAGAGTAAAATCTTCCATCAGTATATATTCAACCTTCTTTACCCTTTACTATACCCTACAATGCCCTTCTCTCTGGTAACCACCATACTGATCTGTATGAGTTTTTATTTGTTTTTCTTGTCTGATTTTAAAGTAGGTTTTTTATATTCCTGTAGCCCCTTACTTTGTGGGCAATGGAGAATTCACGCTAAATACAGGAACCCTGGACGTTCTAACCTTCACCCTTGTTTCTGGCCCGTTGACCCGGAATCTGTACTAAAATCTTATTTTGACTTTGCTCTTTCATGTATCAGTGATATAAGAGAGACAGAGTATAGTGGACTCACCCTTTCTACTGTGGTCTCCAGTTCCAAGATCATACTGCCTCTCAAACCTTCACTCCCTTTGTGCTTCATTGTGTCATTGCCCTTGTTAAAATCCTTCACTTTCACAGTTTTCCTTACAGCCCCATGGGTTGCTCACCCCTCACATTAGCAGGCTATGCTGCAGTGAATGAGAGGAGGGAAGGACAAGTGTGGAAGGGGAAGCTGGAGGATGGAAGATCTCCAGCACCTGATACTCTGTGGGGGGGGCTGCCATGTGCTTTGGGGATAGTCAACAGTCCCTTACCCTCTAACACCTAGATCCCAAGAGCCCCCTTCCCCCTAATAGTGATGACTACGGTGTCCCCAGGTGGTGTCAAATGCCTCCTGTTGGTCAAAATCATCCCCTGTTGACAACCACTGATTTAAGTGAATATCTCTTTATATTAAAACTAGAGGTCCGGTGCACAAAATTAATGCACAGGTGGGGTCCTTAGGCCTGGGTGGTGGTCAGGGCTGATCTGTGGGGCAAAAAGTGGGGTGATTGGGGGGCTCCCACCTTGGCCAGCCTGGCACCGCCTGCTGGCCAGCTGGCCCCTCCCTCCACTGCTGCCACCACCATCAGTCACCTCCCTCTGCAGGGTGACCAGCGGGACAATTGGGGGCCCCCACTGGCATCTGCCTTGGCAGGCCTGGGGCCTGCAGGCTGGGGACAGCTCCTGCATTGAGCATCTGCACGTTGGTGGTCAGTGCGCATCGTAGCGACCAGTCATTCCATGGGTTGTTCCGCTGTTTGGTCGATTTGCATATTAGGCTTTTATTATATAGGACTAGAGCCCTGATGACAAAATTTGTGCAAGAGTAGACCTTCCTTCCCCTGGCTGCTGGCACCGGCTTCCCTCTGGCACCTGGAACCCGGGTTTCCCTTGCAGCCCCGGCTTTGTCCAGAAGGTTGTCCAAAAGGACATCTGGAAGGATGTCTGGTCTACTAAGCATATTATGCTTTTATTATTATAGATAGCAGGGCTTAGAAAAGTGCCTTTTCTAAAGGGAGTTTGCATATTTAAATATCTGATGCTAACCATTCTAAGAGCCCTTATTTACTGATCCAGAACCCTATACTATCTAATAAAGAGGAAATATGCTAATTGACCATCACACCCTCACAAGATGGCAGCACCCACAGCCAATAAAGAGAATATTCTAATTGACTGTCACACCCTCAGAAGATGGTAGTGCCCACAGCCACAAAATGGTGGCGCCCAGTCTTCTCAGCCCCGCTGGGGGTGGCAGGCACTGCACACCTCATTCAGTCCCCTCAGCCCTGCCTCATTCAGCCTCAGTCCCACAGTCCTCTCAGTCCCACGGGGGGGCAGGAGAGGGGTGGCAGGCACCATGCACCTCATCCAGCCAGAGTCCCCCAGTCCCCTCAGCCCTGCCTCATCCAGCCGGAGTCCCCCAGTCCCATCAACCCCATAGAGGAGGGCAGTTGGAGGTGATCAGGCTGGCAGCGGAGGGCAGTTGGGGATGATCATGTTGGCAGGGGAGCAGTTACATGTCAATCAGGACAGCAGGGGAGCAATTAGGGGGCTATCAGGCTGGCAAGCAGAGTGGTTAGGGGCAATCAGGCAGGCAGGTAGGCAAGTGGTTAGGAGCCAGAAGTCCCAGATTGTGAGAGGGATGCCTGGCTGCCAGTTTAGGCCCGCTCCTGCAGGGATTGAGCCTAAACCAGCAGTTGGATACCCCCAAGGTGTCCCAGATTGGAGAGGGTGCAGGCTGGGCTAAGGGACCTCCCCCCGCCGCCCCCCGTGCATGAATTTTGTGCACCGGGCCTCTTGTTGTTTGTAAAGGCCCAGCCATATTAGCCCAATCTGGGACAACTCTGACAGGCTATTTTATTTTAAAAAATATGTTTTTAGTACTTTCAGAATGGGAGAAGGAGAGAGAGATAGAAACATCAACTATGAGAGAGAATCAATTGGCTGCCTCCTGCTA